AACACAGGTACTCTTCACTCGGTGCGGACACTCACTCTTTCTTCTTCCGGCCATGAAAAAAGCTGGCCCACTCGAAGCAGGTCTTCTTGCTGCCCACCCAGAAGACGGACGGTATTCCCACCACCAGGGCCATTAGGTACTTCATCAGGAAGAGGATGAGGTCAGGACGGCTTGTCTGCGTCACCTGCAATGACAAATCAAAACCAGTGAGACTCCGGTCGTGTGATAACGCCAACGCATACTTGTGTGGGAAAGGTGCGAGGGGCACGGCACTGCAAACCTGTCAGAAATGGTAAACTTTGTAATAGAAAACTTACTTAGAGAACTATGGGGTCAGGGCTTTCCCCCATAGTTCTCCTAAGGGTCACGGGAGAACACAAACTAGCGCCCTCCCGTCACCCAAAGCTCAGTATATAGGGAGCTACAGGTCGCGGTATACTGAGACGCCGCAGCCGGAACGGATCCCGATGTCGATGTCGAGATCCACCCAGCTGCGTGATTGACCGCTGGCTTTGCCTATCTAGAGGCAGAGCCAGCTGTGCCCGCCCCCTCCCCCGTCCGTTCCGCCAGTCAGGGCTGGAGGATTGGAGCGGGGAGGAGGGGAATCCCTGCAGGGAGCCGTGAGTGACAGTCACAGCTCTCTGCAGGGATAGATCGAGAAGTGAGCGAGCGACGGTATGCGTTCGCTCACCTCCCGATCTACTGAGCCGACCCGCGGCAGTCTCATTGTCACGCGTCGGCTCAGATTATGAGGCTGAGTGAAAATCGCTGGCCTCATAATTCTCCTTTAAGAACATGGGTACAGGTACTCAAATATTAGACCACATAGGGACTCATATACACACATTCACAACTCACACACAGACACACAAAGGTTGAACTTGATGGACCTGTGTCTTTTTTCAACCTAAAATACTAAGTAACAGGCACAAGATTAAAAAAATGACTCCGTCAGCCTTTCTAGAACCAGTTTGTCACGAGGGCCCAACGTCTCTATTTATTGCTGAACCCCAACAACTCCCTTCTGTGGGATCTCTTTTTGGACAGGATAGGATCTCCATGCATCTACACTATATGGCCACAAGTCTGTGGGCACCTGACCATCACATCTACATCTCTTGTTGGACATCCTATTCAAAAACCATGGCCATTATTATGCAGTTGCCTCCCACCCCCTTTTGAGGCTTTAAGGTCTCGTTCACACCTAGGCGTATTGCATATGCGCGTCTGTCGCGCGTTTTTTTACCGCAATTCGCGGTAAAAAAGTTGCGCGACAAACGCGCGTTTCCAAAGGCTACTTGGCTGTATCCCAATGGAAACGCGCAACAAAACGGCCCAAAGTAGTACATGTACCTTTTCAGGCGTGGGCCTTTTTGAAGCACGTTAGGGACGGGCGGAAATACGCCAAGGTGGGAACGAGACCCATTGACTACAATGGGATTTATATTTTTGAGCGTTTGTCGAGCGTAGAACGCGCTACAAAACGTTCAGGTGTGAACGAGGGCTAAGAGCTTCCACTTTTCTGGGAAGGCCTTCCAGACATTCGATCTGTCGTCATGTGTGCCAGTTCTGCCAAAAGAACATTTGGGAGGTCAGGTACTGATGTTGGATGAGAAGACCTGGCTCTCAATCAGCATTACACTCCATAGGTCACATGTGTCAAACTCAAGGCCCAGGGGCCGAATCAGGCCCACCAGACCATTTCCTAGACTTCTACTTTCAGATCTAGGTATTAAGTTATTACTAAAACCAGTGATCATGGAATGCCGAGGCAATTATGATAAAGATTAGATACATTTATATAGTCTTACAGATACCTTTGAGGGCAACCATAATGTTGATGCGGCCCACGATTAAATTGAGCTCGACACCCCTGCCATAGGTGTTCAGTAGGGTGGAGGGCAGGGCTCTGTGAAGGCCACTCGAGTTCCTCCACCAAACTGGTCACCCCATGTATTTATGGAGCTGGCTTTGTACACAGGGGGCAGTCATGGTGGAGAAGAAAAGGGACTTCACCAGGTACTGATGTTGGATGAGAAGACCTGTCTCATAATCAGTGTAGCAATTCATCTCAAAAGGGGTTCAGTGGGGTGGAGGGCAGGGCTCTGTGAAGGCCACTCGAGTTCCTCCACCAAACTGGTCACACCATGTCTTTATGGAGCTGGCTTTGTACACAGGGGACATTCATGGCGGAACAGAAAAGGGTCTTTACCAAACAATTGTGTAAGATTTGTATGCTGAAGAGTTAACAGTACCCTTCACTGGGAACACCTGAACTCCATAATTTGGAGGGGTAGCCATATAAATTTGGCACAATTTGCCTGTATGGAATTCTGTGCATTTCCTGTCCAACTATGTCACATGAGACACCTCCTGATGTATTTATAAATGTGTGAAAAGTGGGCTAAGAAGAACATTGAGGGGGATTTATCGAAACTGGAGCAGAGCAAATCTGGAGCAACTGTGCCTGGCAACCAATTAGCATCCACCTTTCATTTTTCAAAGCTTAACTGAACAGACTGAAGGGAGAAGCCGATTGGTTGCCATAGGCAACTGCTCCAGATTTTGTCTGTCTGTGTTGATAAATTCCCCCCGTTGTCTATTGCCTTTAGAGAATAACCTTGCCTCATGATGACCTTGGTGCTGCAGCAGTGACCGTTTGAAGCAGATTTTTTGCTATTGGACACAATAATTGTTCAAACTTCCCACCCCCCATAGA